GTAAACCTTGCTGCCCTGGATCTCAGCTTTGCGGCTTCCTTTGGGTCCCCGGGTAGCCCTTCGTCTAGCAGGAATGATCTAATGGGGTCCGTCCAAGAAGTGTCTCCTTCAACTGGGAGGGCCTGAATTTCTCCGTTTAGCTCGTCGTCAAGCTGTACGCTAGGCTGGGTCAGCGTCTCGACGGGCGTTTGCCCGGGGAGGCCATGTTAACTGGTGGTTGCCAGTTTGGCCAGGGCGTCAGCCTGGGTGTTGGCGTTTTGATGTATCTGTACCAGCTCGATCTGCACAAACTTTTTTAGCAAGCCACACACTTTCATCACGTAGCGCACCATCTTCTCTTCTTTAGCGGTGTACTCCTCCTCAACCTGTCGGACCACCGGTTGTGAGTCACTATGAACTACGATCTATTGTGCTTCCATTGATAAAGCCAAGTTTAGTCCAACTATGAGGGCTTTGTACTCGACTTCGTTATTGGATGCCTGAAAATCAAACCGTAATGTGTATTCCAAGTCATACCCCTCTGGCGACATTAGGATGAGGCCAGCTCCGCTTCCCCGGGCGTTAGATGCCCCGTCTATGTACAACCTCCAGGTCGAAATGTCTGAGATGTCATCTCGACTCTCTTCGTCCTCTTCCTGCGGGGAGGTAAACTTTGCCAGGAATTCTGGCATGGCTTGCCCCTTAATCGCGGTCCTGGGCTTGAACCTTATGTCGAACTCATTTAGCTCCATATAAATGGAGAAGGAAATGGAGGACCTCAAGTGTAAATGGCGACTCGGTTTGCTGGACTAGGGCATCCATGGTGTTGGGGGCCTTTCCTTTAACCACCTCTTTCACATTACCCAGTTCTCGCTGGAGTTCACGGATTCTCTGTTCCTATATGTGATCATCGATTTTGAACGGGGGATAAGGTATGTCCTGTTGGAGGGCAGCTGTAGTTCGACTATGGGCTTCATCCTTGTCTTGTCCTTCGGGGTGTCTCCTCCGATGGTTTTCTCCAGAGTGGTTGTGCTCGTGGAGTTCTGTGACCCCATTCGGTGGAGCCTGACGTCCCCCGCAGAGGAGCATCGTGACCCACTGGCGATGGAGGAGGCTCTTGTTGAGCTGGTGGGAATGGAGGGAACTGGTGAGTTCGTATCCATTCCTACAGCTCCTGATTCTGTTTCATAAGTTGCATCGTGGTTCCGTGAAAGGTATCCATCCCCTCGAGAGGGGGAAGGTTTGTAGCTGTGAAGTGGTTTTCGGCGTTCACTTCAGGAATCAGGGGATTCTCTGGTAGGTTCTGGTGGGCTTGAGGGTTGGTTGGAGCTTTACTCATATTCCGAGTTGAAACCATCAAATAAGAATCAGATAAGAAAACGATGAAAATCGTTTCCCACAGATAGCGCCAACTAATGGTGGTCAGAATTTGTGGCCCAAGCCCAACTAAGATGGGATGGTGTTAAGAAATGGTTTTTTGGAGGTTATGGATTAATCTTAAATGATCAGTTAGACTGGGAATATAAGTGGTTCACCTTAGCAGAAGGACTAAGGCTACATCCACTATCAACGAAGTCTCTTGCTCGCTGGGTCTATATATTCATCGTCCGACAAAGTGCCTCCTGTAACTCAGGACTCGGAGTCCGCTTACAAAGGATGAGTATCCATGTATTCTCTCTCAGCTTTCTACGTTCTTAGGCTCTCTAATGTCCTCCCCCCTTTTTTCTGGGGAAGATCCTCCTTTTTTTTTGGGTTATCGTTATCTATTTATATTAGCCCTTTTTAGGGGCTTCAGTTGTCCTTTCCTCTGACCCCCTCCTACTTTTTCTGCCACTACGATCACTGTTCATCCGGTGCTGCCGTTGCCATGATCTCTGGCGGTCTAGTGCTCCACCTTCTCTGAGATTGCCGTAGGTGTTAGGGGTGGTCCCCTTGGATGTGTGGTCCCCTCTGCCCATCCAGATATAGCTTGGACTGGGCTTTTATTCTCCAAACCGCTTTATGGTTTGGGCTAGGCCTGGATTGCTGGGCTATTGGCTTTTTGTCAATGCTAGGTCCCACTTCTCTGCTCTGAGCCTCTTGGGCTGGTCAGGCTTCCGGGCCACCAAAGTCCTGGCCGTGAATTTCGTCCGTATCAAGTTACTTACTTTTTAAATACACAGACAAATAGATTTTTTATATTTTTAACTATTTCCTTTAAATATTATTTATCATTTTTTTTGTATTATTTTTTTTTTGGAATTGTGAGAGAAAAAGAGAATGAAAGAAAGGAAAAAAGAGATAAAATATTATAAAATATTTATACATATCGCTACAGTGATGCTCTAACTATAGATTGTCACTATACCAAAATACTAATTTAGATGATTTTGAGATGCTCTGTTGGAATGGCATTTTAGGGCAAAATAACTAAATTTTGAAGTTTTTGTGTCTTTTAACTACTCTTTTGGAAATGTTCTTATCACACTCTTGTTTTTTGTTTTTTTTGTGGGGGTAGGGTGGGGTGGGGGGGGGGGCATGTGCACTAAACGCTCAAACAAATTGACCGTGTTCTCCACTAAATTCTCAAACAAACAATATTGACTAGGTCAAGCATATCGCAGGATCGAATGCTGATATGATTTGCTTGAAGTTTGAACCCCACAAGGAGGAATTAGTAAGTGCAGAATTAGAATTAGCTGAAGGACAATGGCGAGAGTTGGTATAGTCGATTAGGCTCTACACAGCTTGCAATTGTTAGTTTGTTTGCTTCTTGCACTGACCGGCAAAAAACTTATTGCGTGCGGGTATCCAATACTTTGCCTTATTTCCTTAGGTTAGGCAACAACCAACCACTTACAAGTAAAGTGAAATCAATGCGTGACCACATCGCTTAAATGATCTTACGCAGAAAATGTCCACTAACATTTGAAATTGATTGCATCACCGAGTCAAAGTTGGGTGACACCGCCCAAGAACCCAAGCCAAAACTAAGGTAAAACTATTTATCAATTGCAATTGGCGAGTCTTAGACAGCACTGGAACAATATTTTTTGGTTTCTAGTCAAGAAAACATAATCTTGTGAACTTCTCCACTGCAAAATATATAACGCAAACCCAATGAGATCTTGAGTTTTGGTTGGCTGGAGATTTCTATGAAAACAGCACGATTGAGTAATGAGAGTAAATCATACAGCACACCAATGCAAACTATGCTTATAAAAATTGGAGAGAGAGAGCGAAAGAGAATTAAATGAGGATATATGAACAATTTTTTTAATCGCTGAACCAACAAGGTTTATAATATGCCTCTTTTACTCTAAAAGATTACTTGGCAGATCAGTAAATGGTGTAGACTGCAGGTATACTGCTGTTGCTGTTGCTGTGTGTGTTTTTGCGGGAGAATGTGTGTTTTTCTTCATTGTGAGCTTGCAGTGAGTTTGAGATGCATCCGTATAGCAAATGTGGGTCACTGTACCACCCACCAACATCATATATATACGTATGCTTGCAACCAATTCTGGATCCTGGACAAAGGAAGTCTAGTCTCGTTGGTTGAATAATGCTTTTGTAGACTAATGACTGATGGAATGCTTGTTGTGTCTTGCTCAAAAATGAGAAGTATTGTTGTGTTTACCATAGTTTTATTAAATTTTAGATATGGAATAATGTGATGTATTGGTAGCCATTAGATAATTAGCGAAAGTTAATTAAATTACTAATTCAATCATGCAATTCAAATAAGATTCATATAACTACCCTGAAAATATTGGGACAAGGCTAAATTGAATTAAGTATAATGTGAAGATTTATCGTAGAGCAAGCAACAATATACGATCAACCTAGTATTAGTGGCATTGATCCCACCAGTAAGGACGACGATTAAAAGCTTAGATAGAGCATGTGACATAGACGGAAAGGTGCATTGAAAGCTTTGTTGCATTGGTCAACAATCAGTAGTTGCGCCTAATTAACGCACTTTAATAACTCGGAATCATACCTACATCTATGAGCACTAACTTATTGCCGACAACTCTTCAGGTATAATTTTTCCATTTTTTGGTTTAGGGGTTGTCCGGACTGGACTAGTTTAGGTGTATTTTGACTAATTTTTTCTTCGATTCGATCAAAAATAGATCATCTACGGTGAAACTAGAATATTCATGAGCAATAAATCTCTCATAACTTTGTGTTAAGAGGTTGTCAAGATTCGAATTTAGAACGTTTGAGTTTATACTTCGTCTCTGTTATCACTTGAACTACCCTCGAGATTTTAGGTATAATATTCAGTTAATTGGCATCCCCTCCATACATAATCATAATGTTAAATTAAAGAAAAATTTGATGCGTGCCTACGTGGGGATTTTCCGTCTTGAACTTAAATTTTCCTACAGTGATGATAGACTTACTATATATAAAACGGCTCAAAAAAGGTCAAACTAAATTATTAAGTTAGAGAAATTACAGCCTCGCCTCAGTTGAAATAGAAATTAACAATTTAGCTCGAAAGAGTAGAAGGACAAATAGAATGTAACGGTCGCCATTGGTATTTCTAAAGTCATTCATGCAAGAAGACGGTGGTCTATTGCGATCTTTGTGGTAGAGACAGCTCAGAAAGGGTAATAAACGGAGTCAATTAATTAATTATTGTTTGCATTTATGGCAAGCTATGCCTACGGATCAGAATGGGTTGCAGTGCCTTAGCTTGGCCCAGATTTATAGCTTCAACTGTTGAAGGTTGGTTTTTGTATATAATTCATAATAAACAGTTTCGAATGAAGTAGAATAGATAGTTTGCTCATTTTTCTTATGAAGTTCACAATTATATGAAGCGTTTCACATCCCCAACAATAACTGGTAATATGTCACAAAGCCTGAACTAGGGCTTGACACTTAAAAGAAAAAAAAAGAAGAAGTAATAAAGGAGAGAAAACTTGCAATAGAAATATCTTTTGTCCATTCCTTGATTGGATTGAAACTTATGGTGATTTGGGGCTGCACATGTTATGTGTAGCTAATTAGATTGCTATGAAAGATCTTATTTACTCTGACTTCTCCCAAATTTCCTCGAGTTCCCTTGCAAAGGCCTTCTGTCTTCCAACAACAATGGTTATGTGATCTTTGTTCTCGAACACCTTAACATGGGCACGAGGAATTCTGGATTGTACATTGTAGCTGCATTCAACTGGAATAAGTTCATCATCTCTCCCATGAAATATGGTTACATCACATTTTAGTTGATTTTGGACAACTTCCAAATATTCTTCGATTTTTGCAGCTGCCCCACAAATAATGTTGTGCATGGTATGCCATGCAGCATTATGCGTGTGGCAGCAGAATCCATCGATCAAGTATGTCCTCATCCTGCAAATATTTATACATACAGCATATTAAAGACAATAGACAGTATCTAGAAGTAACCTTATAGAAGAACAGCTTGCCACCTCAATTTCTTCTAACTAGGAGGGTTAGAGAGACAAGTCGTGCAAAATACTTGCTTAATTTCTTATGCTCTTTCTTAATTTGGCGTTCAATTCCAGCCCTCTTTTAGGTGTCTTTTCTCTTTTACATCACTGCGTTCATCTAGATTTCATTTTGTTAGTGATATATTGGATTTTTAAAAGTGATCAACGGTTGTATTCAAAAAAAAGTTTTAGGAATCCAAAATAGATGACTAGAAAACGGCCTAACACCAGTTTCAAGTAAAAGTTTCAACAATATTTGTTGGCCGACGATGCCTCACTATAGGGGAATTACGAAATTGTCTACTGATATATCCTCACATGTTAGAAATATTATGTTGTTATCATCCTTAAATTTCTGCCTTGTCAGATATTATTTTTATTGATATTACAGGTTGATCTCTCCACAAACATTCTCACTCTATCCACAGCTTACATATGAACTGATACCTCTCTATGGACATTGCATTCCATCATTTTCACCTTGTTACTTCATCCCGAAAGGAGCTAGAGAACCGTTGATCTTCCACCACCGGAAGAAAAAAGTGGCCCCCTTATTGTGAGTGGACCAACCCTCCTATTAACATCTCTATCAAGATGTACACATTAATGTCCCCAACGGAGCAAGTCATGAAGAGAGAGAAAGCTCTTTATCCTTGTTCGGTATTCTTTAATGTAGTAAATGAAATAACTCATTAATTACTCGTCTAACCATCGGAGTGGAGGGTTCTCTTAAATTAAAAGGCAAATATTTATGGCCGTTAATTATTATCATTAATTGCCAGTTTCAAAAAGCCTAGTACTGAGATAGTATAAGGGTGTGTTTTTCAAATTCGAAACAAGTCCCATATAGTCTTACTTTGAAGACAAGACATGTCCTAAAAATAACTAGGGGTAATAATGTAGATGGTGTCAATATTAGATGAGCATGAGGGTAGTTTACGAAACTAAACATAAGAATAGATGAGAGCGAGCAAGGAAGACCGTAGTCTAGCATTTGGTGCGTTGACGGATGCACAAATAGACATGTCTAAATTAATTAAGTACCTGTTTCTGGTGATAAGTTTGGTGAGAAACTCCCACAAACGATGGTTCTTGCAGATGAGAAGGCACACCGTCCTGCTAACATGCTCATACCAGCAAGCAATCGACGCGCCGAAAGCAATCAGTGGCCACACGCGCCTTGGAGCTACCCTCCTCATCACGTACTGTGTAGCTTGTTCACCCTTTGGTACCGGAAAATATGGCTGCCATTTTTCACACACACCAACCAATCCATATATAAAACCCATTATGATAATAATAATAATAATAATAATAATAATAATAATAATATATGAATATAAAATGTATTCTTTTTATATATGCATTAAAATGTATGTCAATATGTGTTTTACCTACATACAGCTTACCGGTGCAAGTAAGGTTAGGGACTTGACTGAGCCAGGGTGTTTTACGGCTAGTGCGAGCGCCAAAATGCAGCCCAGAGAATGTGCCACTATGTGAAAGGATTTCACTTTGTATGGCTCGAGAACAGACCTTTCAATCATTTCTATATGCTCTCTTAGGGTGTATAGTGAGTCATTTGGCTTGGGACTCCTTCCAAACCCGAGTAAATCCACAGCAAATAGCCGGTAAATCGATTTGGCAGATTTCGAGAAATTTGGAAATAGTGTTTCAGTCCAAAATGCAGAAGACGAGATGAATCCATGAATGAACAGCACATCTTCTTCTTGCACTTGATTTTCTGACCACCAAAAAATTAACTCCAGGCACATGAAAAACTACATTTATACATTTTTCCATGATAGATATGAAAAAGCTTTTACCTGTAGCTCCATCAGCTCGGACGAAGAGCGTATCTTTGCAAGAAGAGGCCCAAGAGTTGCAAGTTTTACAATCACAATCGGACCATCTTGGGATGGGATCATGTGATTGCTGCCCTCCGCCGATCTTTCCTTGTAACATTTCGACGATGGTAGAGTTGATGGTGAAAGTCGATCGGACAGTCCCTTTCCTCATCTTCTCACTTGATTGCACCAATGTGCTCTCCTTTTTGAGCCGCTTCAGCTCATTGACGGTGGATTTGGAGACCTCGGACGCCAACGATGGGCGTGTGTATAGGGTGTCTGAGATCTCTTCAAGCTGCAATATACTAGAAGTAATACTGACAATCTTGGATTCTCCTTGCTCGGAGACCAAGATCTTCCCACTGCTGGTGATGGCTTCTTTTGCCGACGAGCAATAACAAGGTTTCCATTCAGCTTCAATGAAGAAATCGATACTTTTGTACGTATAACATAGGAGGAAATCCAGGAGGTCCAGAACTGAGAAGACAATGAAGCTGACCACTTCATTAACAACCCTCCCTGTCAAAGTTAAAATTGACTTTGTTTTGTGCATAACAGCCATTTCACTGAAAACCCACCACCAATGACCAAACCCAAGCCCGTTGATTTAAGACAAGAGAAGAGAAATAAGAGAGAGGGGTCGGACTTTGGAGGTAGGGGTAGAGACCTACAGTCTAAAGAGAGAGAGTTAAGGCACCCCACCCGTTTGTGATTAATATATCTCAAGAATGTGATTGATAGAGGACAGCTGATGGCACCTCGTAATTAGCTTCGTCGTCTTGTTCTGTTCTTCTGAGAACGCAACATTGCAACTCCTAGCCAACCATAAAAAGGAAAGAAAACAGGAAAATGAATCTTCTTTCTTCCGATTTTTCTGCAAATGAGTTATGGAGTATGCAACATTGCAACTCCTAGCCAACTATGCACTGCCTCTTGATGCTTCTTATTAGAGGAAAGAGTGTGAGAATGATGCTCTTAAGACTTTGTGTGAGAGAGAGAGAGAGAGATTTGGACACGTACGCACCAATTGGTGACAGTTACCTTAATTCATTGTTACATTAAAATCGTTTGCTGGCCAAGCGAAAAAAGTTAGGTGGTGGTTGAACCTCCGGGTGAGTACTGAGGAAACAATTCTCTTCCAAGAACTAAGACCCGCCACAAGCTTTCCTTCCATGAATATTAATATTAATATGTAATATGCGTGTTTTTTTTCTCTCGAAAAACAAACAAAAATAATGTTATTGAATCTTAATTTAGTGACCTAATTTATTATGATTTTTGGATTAACTGTGGGTTCTATCAAACATTAGAACTTAATATTTATCTAATAATTTCAATAAAGTCACGTCATTAAATCAACAAATTATGTCAAATTTTTAGATTCAAATATTATTTTCCAAAAAACAATTTGCTTTCTAGGCCTTCATAAACCATATCCCACAATTTTTTCCTCCTTATGTTACAAATCCTTTCCTCGTTATTAAAGGCAGCTACACTACAATTAATTTACGTAAAATTTTTCAAAGAGTATAGGCCTTAAAATCTCTTGTATTTATTGCAAGTTGTCTAGGCCACGTGACTTCCATCCCCAAGAGACCCAACCCTTCACCACCGTCCCCTAATGTACACATTTACACTTTGTATGTTCTCGCTATTATTTCCTCTTTTCTTTTCAGGGAAGGGACGGCGGATAAAAAAAAATGAAAAATTAGAATTTATGGCCTTGTTTGGTTTGTGTCTCAAAAAATAGTATTCGAAAATGATTTTTGAGAAGAATTTTTAAAAATTTTAAATTGTAAAACCTGTTTGATTATATATTTTTGAAAATAATTTTAAAGAACAAAAAAATGTAAAATCTGTTTAGACAATAATTCACAAAATTCACGATTCCCACCTCCATCTTTCTTTTCCCTCTCTATGTCTCCACAAAATACACACAGACACACATACATAGACAAGTACAGACACACAGATCCCACCTCCATCTTTCTTTCCCCTATCTGTGTCTCCACAAAATACACACACGCGCACACACACAGACACACACACATACACATTTACATAGACACACACAAATTTGTGTATATACACAGATCTGTATAGATCTGAAACTTCAATTGTGGCGAAAGAGAGAGAGTGTTTGTTCAAAACTGGAGAGGCAAAGTGGAGACAGAGTGCACTCACCTCTGTGTGTGTGTTCAGATCTAGAAAGGCAAAGTGCTCAGATTTGGAGAAGACATTGGCTCTCTCCCTGTGTTCGTTCTGTCTAAGAGGCCAAGTGAAGAGAGAGAGAGAGAGAGAGGTAGAGAGGAAGACAAAAAAAAAAAAAAGCCTATATACTATGACTAATTTTGCTGCTAAGGGGATTTGAAGGGAAGACCTCGTTAAAGATTTTTGTTCTCTTTGTTTTCAATATTTTTAGCATAAAAAGTTGAAAACAAGTCTAGCTTGTTTTCTATTTTTTTGCCCCAATTCTCACTTTTTTTTTCCGAGAACTTGAGAACAAAAAATCAAATTAAATGTGTTTTCACTGTTTTTAAGGTTTAAAAAACAAAAAACGGGTTTCAAGAATCAAACCAAACACAACCTATATTTTATATATTATACCAGTAATAACTCGTGTTTGAAGATACTCTCCAATATTAAAAATCGAACAATTGCGTAAACTCATCACGAACAACTGCCATGGGTAGTTTGGTTCCCTAGATGCAATGGCCCTGCCATTCAATCATATAAATAGTGTTCTTTAATGATTAAAGGACAGTGAAAATTGTTGTTGAAATAGTTAGTTATTCAAATTAAGAGAATGGTAGATGTAAGGGATTAAATCCGTATCGGAATATCCTCCCTCCATTGAAGAATTCTGACTGACTTGGACCCCTTCCTACCCTTCCTAAGGCAATCTAATAGCCTTTACTTCTCAGTGCCCATGAGGAGCTCGTCCCACATCGACTGAGAGTCGTCTCCCCCCCCTCACATATAAGCCTACGCTTCATATGGAGGAGGTATCCACTAGCCACTTTGCCTCCTATAGTGAGTGGGGTTAAAGTAGAAGACAAAGACAGGCTCATGGATGCGGTACCTAACCCTAAAAACTTGGATATTCTTATCAATCACTTGAGTTCTCCTCATCTTATGGGTAGTCCTAGCCCAAACAGATGTCTCCCTCCTGGTTCTACTAATTCTGGTCATTGGTGCACGCTAAAAAGACGAAATGTAGAGGAAATGAAGAGAGACAAAACTCAAGTGAAATTACTTACAGGAAGGTGGTCTTCAAAAAAAGAGCTCGGAGGACGAAGGAAACTCGGAGGAGAATAAAGGAGTACTCGGGGTCTGGTTGCTGAAGAGAGGCTGAGGATGCAAAAGTTCTAAGAATGCATGAAAACCTTATATTTATACTGCCTTACAAGGAGTGGGAATCGAAAATTTGGGTCATCATTAAGACATTTGAAAAAAGCGGCACCTAACGTGCAGGTAACCGTCGCTATTAATAAGGCGTGATGATTGAGTTCTCAATCTCTTTACGCCACTTGTCTTACACTGTGAAAAGGATGGCGGCTAGGAGACAGTTGGCGGGACTCTAGGTGATTTTACAGCCCCAGGTTGACACGTGAAATAATAAAGTCGTTGGGATGTCCAAAAGGAGCCGAGGAGGTAAGCTGAGATATGATGACACGGAGCAGCCGAGTATGACAGATGACATCGTATTTAATGTGATGTAACTTCTCATTTATGGCAGAATGAGTGATAGTAACAAGGCAAATAAATGCACGCCTTCAAACACCTGCACTTTGGGAGTTTAGGCCTACTGTCATAATGGCTAAACATTTATGGCTGATGCATCGATATGACACGATCGGCTCCCCCCGAAGAACTGTTCCCCCGAGTATTCAATGTTCAATTGATGTCAGATGCCGATCTAGGGGATTTGAGTACTCGAGGGAGGGCTATAAATGCTCGGCATTTGACCAAGCATTTATCCCATTTTCCTAGCATTTAATAGGAGGAGACGTGAGTAGAAAACACTCATTGCACGAGGAATGGTGTGTCAGATGTAAGATGTCCAGATAAGACTAGAGATCTTTGGTAATCATTGTTAATTCAAGTATAAATATTCTTCAGAAAAATGGGCAAATGTATGCAAACTTAAACGAGAAATAAATTGTCCATTGAACTAAACTTTTCGACCTTAGATTGACTTAAGCTTCGGAAGGGGTAAGTCGGGTGCTTACCTGACCCCCTTTTTCTGACCCTGTTATTTTAGGTTCGTCAAATTAAAGATCTCTGTCTCAAACTATTGCATGAATTATCCCGTACAGTAGACTAATCATAGAAAAAAGAATCAAATTGAGAGATTCAATAATGTGAGGTTAGTGTGACCGTCATCTGTCGTTGTTGATTAACTCATGTGTGTTTAACTTGATACTTAAATTTTGGACAAAAATTTTGAAGGTTATATTTTTATAGTTTGTTTTGATGGTCATTGTAAATTTTGGTCAAAATAATTTTACTTAGTCAGCATGAATGTAATTATTCAATAAGATCCAGTTATTGTGTAATTCTCAGTGGCACATTGTCTTCTTATAAGAATTGTCGTCGATTGATCCCCTGAGTGACCCACTGTCTAGAGATATGTTATGATGTTAATGTGGTGCGGGCCAACTTACGTTCGAAGGCTTGGTTTTTATGTGATTATGCATTTATTAGGGTGTTGAACATCATGTTTAGATGTAATCGGCGATTTGTACGAGTACAATTTTACCAACCATGAACTGAGTCAGAGTTGGCCTGCCGTCCAGTGGGGGACCCAGAGTTTGGAGAAAGAGAGAAGGGGGGGGAGCAATGCTGTGATTTTAAAAAAATTTGGGGTCAATTCAAAATTTTAAAATTAGAAAAAAAAAATTAGAATTATAATCCAATATTTGTAATTTGTCAAGCATGAAATTTATTTTGTATTAAATTTTTTCGATTTAATTGGACTTGAACAATTTATTTGTGTTGAATTAAACTGGTCATGTAGATAAGTTCGGTATTAATAAACTTGTGATACATTGAATTATTTTTTGAATTTTTTATATTTATTTATTCTATTTTTATTAATTTTTTGTCCTTATAAATAATTTCTTAAAGATAATGATAAAGTATTGAATTTATTACCCTTTTAATTTGATATCAATGTCATTTATTACGTCTCGTGGATAGCTGTATGGCTTTCTTTGACGAGTAAAATAATTTTATTCTAAAAATAATGATATTAAAATATAGCTATATTCCAACAGTGTCACACGGAGTCTATGAATAATTTAACACACCTTTGTCTTTTAAATTAAAAATATTATAAATTCCCACAAACCTCTAAGGAGACCACACAATATTTATGGGGTTATTGGAGATTTTATATGCATGTGACCCCCCTTTTTTAATGCCTCTTCTTATGTATGGTGAGATATATAAATTGCACTTTCAATAGACTCTTTTTTCAATGAAATCAAACTTAAAAAAAAAGTGTTAATAATTATATTTTGAAAAAAATATTAATAATTTAATTTATTTGATAGGTTA